CAGCAGGAACGGACGTGCCAAGATCTTGGCTGGTCAGTTCTCAAGCCATATGAATGATGTGAGGAAACCTCCCTGCCTTATTCAGACCGGCGCTGAGGTTTCAATGAGGTGAGGCATTTGTGTGTCGTGGGGATGAATCGAGCTCGGAGGAGAGAATGCTGTCATTGAGATTTTGTTTCAATAGTTGTATTTTTCACCGGAGAACTGTTTTCTCATTGTTCAGTTCTTATAAGCAGTGGAGCTGTGGGGGATGCACATCAAAGGCTGTTGTACATTTTTAAAGTGGCAACTCATGGGTGTGTATCTTTAGGAGGCTTTTCAAGAACTCACACTGGCACCAAAAGTTACCCAAGTTTGAATTTTGAGTACGTAGGGTCCCACAGCTTGTAAGTGCTCATGTTCTGGGTCATTTAGATGTGGGTTCAAATCCCATCTCTGCTTCTTGCTCATGGGGCCTTGGCTGGTTATTTCTCCTCTCTAAGCCTCAGTTTCCACATCTTTAAAATGGGCCTGAAAGTCAAACCTACTGGTGTTATTAAAAGGTTCAGTGAACTTGAAGGTGAGTCAGGTGCTTGACTGGGTGGCGCCCAGTAAGCACTCAGTACCTATGGGTGTCCTCACTGCCCGAATTTTCTCTCTTCTTGCCTACATTCATTCAGGCAGTCCACACACAGACCGTTAAAGGAGCAATCACATCATTTTAAAAAATTGGAAACAATTTCCAGCATGGAAAACCTTTTCCTGTCTTCCCATTCCTTTTCTAGCATTTTTCTTATACATATTGGTATATTCGACATAGTTCCAACAGTGGTAAGGCAGTTTGGGTTCTGCTGTTTTCTTTTTTTTTTTTTTAAGTTAAAATATAGTTGATTTACAATGTTTCAGGTGTACAGCAAAGTGATTCTGTTATACATATATATATATATATATATATTCTTTTTCCTATTCTTTTCCATTATAGGTTATTACAAGGTATTGAATGTAGTTCCCTGTGCTATACAGTAGATTCTTGTTGTTTATCCATTTTATGTATAGTAGTGTGTATCTGTTAATCCCAAACTCCTAATTTATTCCTTTCCCCTTTGGTAACCATAATTTTTTTTTCCATGTCTGTGAGTCTCTGCTGTTTTCATTTTGACATCATTTCCTTCATATTTTCTGGGCTGCCATAGAGGCTTCATGGGTCTCATTTTTAACTATCGTGCAGCATCAATAAATCTCATTTTAACCTTGGCCCTCTCATATGTACTTTGAACTTGTACTTTATCCGCTGTTATAAATGCCACTGCGGTCACCATTGTTGTGACCTTTGCTGGCCTCCCTCACTGGTACTTCCCAGAGTACCCAAGAAGGCTACATTGTCATGTACTACCACTGTAGCTTTAGTGGCTTTTGTTTGTTTTATTTTGTTTTAAAGTTTCTTACTACCAATGAATGTTCATTGTAGAAAAATTATGAAGTCCAGCTTTGCTGTAAGGGAAAAAATCACCCGTAATCACTTTTCCCTAGAGAGCATCACTCTGGGTACACATTCCTCTGGCTCTTTCTCTATGCATGGGCACTGGGTATGGTAGATACCTTTTTGGTATTTTTGTATCTTCTGGCCTGCTTTTCTCACCTGATAATATGAGCACACTTCTGTATTTTTACCACTCTTAATAATTGCAAATAAGCCATTGTAAGGACATACCATAATTAATTTAACCAGTCCCCAGCTGATGGAGACTTGAGTTGTCTCTAGTGTTTGTCTATTATAAATAACACAGCAATGAACATCTCAGTGTATCATCCCTAATGGCTTTTGGGGGTCACTTTAAAAAAAGAGAGCCATACTCAATATCTTGTAATAACCTATAATGGAAAGGAATCTGAAAAATCTATATATAGTATGTATTACTGAATCACTTTGTGGTACACTTGAAACTAACACAACATTGTAAATTATATTTCAAAAAAACTGATATTAAAAAAACAGTCCACCTTAAAAAAAAGGAAGGATGGTAAAATGACTAAACTTATTAAAGAAACTTGCATTAAAAAAAAAAAAAGAGAAATGCACGTTGACAGCTTTAGGCTAAGAACCCCCAGCCCCCAAAAACACATCTTTGACAGCTTACTTCTTTGTCTTTATTTACTTAATGTTCATTCGTTCCTATGTATGTATGTTTATGCATACATACATACATACATACATACATACATACATACATACATCTCAAAGACCTTGGTTCTAAGTCCCTATCATCTCTGACTAGGAGTGATGTCCCGGCCACTTAAGTAGATTAACTTTGCTTAATCTGTGAGTAAGGATGAGGTTTTCAGCTCCACCCAGATAACTGTTTCTTTATGCAAGCAACAGCAGTTGACATCACACCAGCTGGCTTTCCACCTTGGCCTTGGTAGTTAAGGATCTCAACCACCATCTAAGTAATAAATAAATGCCCACTATTGCTCATCCTGGAGAATGTTACATAGAGTTGCTGCCAAGGTGAGAAGCTGCACGTGGAGAACAAAAAGAAAGTAAAAATGTGCAGCACAAGCCCTGAATGCAAACTTTGGGGTTCATATTGGATATACCCCCTTTTGCTTAGTCCACGCTTGCCATGTTGAGGAGTGAACCCCGTCTCCTTTCTCTAGGTTTCTCTTTACACTCCAGTTCCAGATGCTCTAGAGCAGGACTCGGAAACTATGGCCTGCCAGCCAAGTCTGGCCCATTGCTTGTTTTATTGGTACCCAGCCACACCCCTTTGGGTATGTGCTCTGTACGGTTGCTTTGGCTGCTTTCCTGCTACGGTGGTAGAGTCACGACAGAGACTGGCCCACATAGCTGAAAGTACTGGCAGTCTGGCCCATTTACAGAACAAATTCGCCGACCCCTGAGTGAAGGGATGATGGAGAGTCTCAAGGTGCCCCTTCCTCCCAAAGCCACTCAGGTGAAGTAGTCTGCATGCCTTGTGGTCTGGATTTTAATAAAGACATGTACAAACTTGCTGAAAATGGAGCTGGCCATTTTCAAGTGATGTGGTTAACAGAGCAAACCCAATTTTACTTCTTTGGATAGTTAGGGGAGAAATCTCTCCGGGCTCCCTGGGATTCCTCTTAAGTAGCAGTGAGAGATGTGATAATGAGATTGGCTCTCCTCTGAAGTGGTTAGATTAGAAAAGTCAACGAGGCATTTCCTTTTCGTGTCAACCATTTTTATTATCTCCTTCTTAACCAAATTTGAGATTATGAAATATTTGACAAACCATCAGGAAAACCTGATGTTTTCCCGCATTGATGAAAGACAAGTGCTGTTTGTGTATAAAGCAAAAGGCATGCTATTGGGCTTCCCTGGTGGCGCAGTGGTTGAGAGTCCTCCTGCCGATGCAGGGGACACGGGTTTGTGCCCCGGTCCGGGAGGATCCCTCATGCCGCGGAGTGGCTAGGCCCGTGAGCCATGGCTGCTGAGCCTGCGCGTCCGGAGCCTGTGCCCCTCAACAGGAGAGGCCGTAAAAAAAAAAAAAAAAAAAAAAAAAAAAAAAAAAAAAGAGGCATGCTATTAAAAAAAATGTAAATTCTACTTGGGGGTTTGTTCTCACCATTCCCTTGATTTTCATTATGCAGAGGAAGGCACTTTATCCCGTTCAAGGCCCTTTCTGGCACTTGAGAGTTCCTAGAAATGAGTTTGGTAATAACAGGTGTGCCTGGATAAGAAATTGGGCAAAGGGATCTGTAGCAAATTGGAAATTCAAAGTCCACATTTTTCAGTAAGAAAATGGCAAGGGCTCATCATCATCTGGCTCTGTGGCTTTCTTTTTTGCCAGTTGGGTGGTTTTGGATTAGACCAGGGATTAGCAAGCTGCTGCCCACATCTGGCTCCCCGCCTGTCTTTTTACTGCCCACCACCTGTCTCTTCATGGCCCGGAAGGCGGAATGGTATGTTTTTAAATGGTTGAAAAACAAATCAAGATGAAAATGGAAGGAAATTCACGTTTCTTTGTCCATACAGTTTTATGGGAACTCTGTCACACCCATTTGTTTGTGTATCGTCAGTGGCTGCTTTCAAGCTGCAAGGACAGACTTGAGTCCTTGGGACAGAGACCATCTCACCCACAAAACTGTGAACATATTGACTGGCTGACTTTTCGTGGAAAGATTGCCAACCCCTGGACTAGACAATTAAAAAAAAAAAGACATCTTATGGGTGGATCATATTCATCTGTGTTTAGTTTGCATTACTGTGGCTGTTAGTGGTAAATATGGGCCACAAGGATATATATATATATGTGTGTGTATACACACACACACACACACACACACACACACATATACATAGGGAGAGAGAGAGACTGTGCTTGGGGAGTTTGTAGAAGTTATTTTAGGGGGAGTAAAGCTTGGGTGCATCTAATTAGAGTTTATTATGTGAATCAGGGA